ATTCTACATGTTCGAAAGGTTAATTCGCGTGTGTTTACTTTTGAATTAAATGGAGTAAGCATAAATGCAAATAACATAAAAACAATCTTAGCTCAATAATCTAAATTGTGATATACGACATAAGTTGTTTTAAATAGAATTTTCAGGTTAAATGTATTCGAATTATATACAATTGAAGACAAATTCAATTACAAATACAATTTGAAGCCCTTAAAAATAATTTTTAATTCTTTTGCAAATAATTACCAACAGAGCAAGGACATTTATCACAGTATTTCCTATTTCTATTTTATTCCTCCGGAAAAGTCGTAGGCTATTTATTTAGTTAGTTAATATTGACAGCGTTAAAAATTGGACTTTGTTGAAGAAGAATAAAGTTTGAGTTTAGTGATTCCGTTTCATTTTTTACGAAATACAATATTTGAACTTATCTAGTACTTTTTGGGACATAGCTTTATTTATTTATTTGTTTGTTAATGAATTTACAAACATCAACAAACACTGAACAATATAGGCTACATTTACTAGAGTATTTATTCGTCTTTGTTAACGTTAGTTAATGAAAATAAAGTTTCACTGTTAATTCATATTAACTTATTAACTACCAATAACTATTTAATTCTAATAATGCTTTATTAATAATAATAATAATAATAATAATAATAATATTAATTAAACCGACCAGATCTGGCAATTGTCATGCAGGCAAACATTTGCTCTTTGCACACTGAAGCATAGGCCCTACATTAATTTACAGCATCAAAGCCAACACTGGAACTATTGAAACAAAAAATAGACCTTCACAGTTCAAAAATTAACACACCCAGATTAATACTGGGGGAAACAATTTAATAAGATGTAATAAACAGGAAAAATCCAAAGAAACATAAAAATAAAATATAAAATATATTTTTGTAGTTTGTCATTTCTTTTTGCAATATCTCATTTGACCATTTACCAATTGCCATTTCTAAAGCTGTTCAGTGAACAACTTTAATCTGTTTAATAAAACTATTTTGTTAAAATGAAACGTATGATGTGTATGGAGGACGAAACCTGCAAAAAACAATACATACATAAATAAATAAATAAATAAATAAGCAAATAAATCAATTAACTATTAAATAATTTCCACAATTTTCTGCATAAATAAAATAAATAGGCAAATAAGTCAACAAGTAAACAAATACAAACATTTCTGCATAAATAAAACAATTAAACAAATGTGCAGATAGATAGATAGATATGCATATTTATTGTTTTATTTATGCAGAAATTTATGGATTTGTACAGACAAATCACCCGATTCTAGACAGCAGAAGGTTGGCCTGATGCTACAGACAGAATATATCACCTGAATGGCCAGAAGAAACTTCAAAATTACTGCTTACAGATGGATCAATGCAAGCTGTTAGCTCTTATCTAAAAAAAATTTAACATGATAAATAATGAAAAAATAATAACACTTAGTAATACTTATAATATAGTAATACTTACGATCATGTGGAAAAATAAAAATATGTGGCCATTAAAAAGTTATTATTGGTTATCCTGAATTGAGTTAAGCAAATTATTAAGAAAATTCCATGTTTAAAATTATAAAATTGACTCAAAAATTACCACAAAAGAATGATTGATCAATTATCATTACTGTAAACGTGAAAAGAAGCAAGTAAACATTAACAAAAATAATCTATTACAGAAAGAAACTTATACTGATTTAAACGGCACAAAAGTGTGTAAATTATGACAATTAATTGTGCATGTGTGAACTATCCATTTATTTCACAGATTGAATTTTATTGTACTTTTTTGCTTTTGCTTTTTTTGATTTTAATATGAAAATATGTTTTTTAAATGAAAATAATCTTCAAAAAAAGAGTTTAAATCTTCCAGTAGGTGGTAGTAATGTACTGTAATGAGTGAGACGACTGGTTCAAACAACTGAATCATTCAACAAAGAAGTAAAGCGCTGTCTGGACTGTTTAAAACGAGTCATTCAGAAAGTAGACACACACACAAGATCTTTTGCGGCTTTTAAGGTAATGTTTTACACAATTCTCAGCACTTATTTCATTTTTAAAAACAAAAGTAAATTTGATACTAATTTACAACATGTGCATTCCTAAATCTCTGAACGGCCACGAGCAGAAGATCTTAGTTCAGAGTTTTCATTCAAGATTTATCCTTGACCTTGATATTATTTATTATTATATTACTACTATTAGTCAGGAAATAAAAAAGAGACTTGTCGTGTTTATATCTCTCTAATGTGACAGTGGAGACACTATACCTACAGTTCTGTTCAAACTGCTTACAAAAGCTGATTTCGCATCATAGGTGTCCTTTAAAATAGTCTGTAAACATGCGGATGGATACTATAATATAAACACTGCTTTTAAAATTAGGAGAAATCTTTCAAATAAAACATGCTTTTACAATAAATCGTAATTATTTAAACAGCGCTAAGGTTAATTGTTACAAAAAGTGCATTTCAAAACAGTCTGTGGCTGTAACTGTCCACTAGATGGTGGTATAATCAAACAAAAGTCTGAAGCACATCTTGAATATCAACACTGCATACTTGATTTCTATTACTACTGAATAGTACACATCAAGTATTCTATCTGCATTCTCCAAACAGAGCTTGAGCGTGAATGACTGCATCTGACAAAGCAAGGTGCTTGACATGATAGCTTAGTTAAAAAAAATGATGGATAATCTTGAAATTATATCATCATTGTTAAAAGTGGCAACTCAAAGATGAACTTTCTGTCATTTACTCATCACATTTATTAACAAGGTCATTCACTTGATTCAGACCTTTTTATATGCTGAAGAATGTTGGAAACCATGTAACCATTGTTTTCTGAAGTATTTGATTTTCTTTTTATGAATGTCAATAGTTTTTAACATTCTTCAATATATCTCCTTTTGTGTTCAACAGAAAAACTCAAACTGCTCTGGAACAAGTCAAGAGTGATTAAATATGGCAGGATAGTATTTTTGGTGGGTGAACATTAACAATTGCATTAACTCCACTTTCTTTAAAGGATAGTTCGCCCAAACCTTTACTCACCGTTTACTCTCCCTCAAGAGTTTCCAAACCTTTATAAGCTTCTTTTTTTTGTTGAGTACTAAATCAAGTCAAGTTAAAGCAAATGTGAGTATATAATGACAGAATTTTTATCTTTTGGTAAACTATGCCAAAATGAATCAAAGTAGTATAGAAAAGGTGAAGTGTTAGTAAATGACTTTTCAGAGTCTTGAACTGTTTGATCGGTCTAACAAATGTTGTTACGTGATATAGCTTAATTTCAAATACTATAATAATTATTTATTAAAAGTGGCAAGTTTTTAATTTCATACATCTTCCATGCAATTGTATATGCCAACAGCCAACGCACAGTTGAAGTCAGAATTATTAAACCCTCTGAATTATTTGCTCCATTTATTTTTTTCCACAATTTCTGTTTAACGGAGAGATTTTTTTCAATACATTTCTAAACATGATGATTTTAATAACTCATCTATAATAACTGGTTTATTTTATCTTTGCCATGATGACAGTACATACTATTTTACCAGATATTTTCAAGACAAATCTATACAGCTTTAAGTGACACTTAAAGGCTTAACTATGTTAATTAGGTTAACTAGGCAAGTTAGGGTAATTAGGCAAGTTATTGTATAAAGATGGTTTGTTCTGTAGACTGTGGAAAAATATATATAGCTTAAAGTGGCTAATGATATTGACCTTAAAATGGTTTAAAAAAAAAAAAAAAAAACATTAACTGTTTTTATTCTATCTGAAATAAAAATAAGACTTTCTCCAGAAGAAAAAATATATATTTTCAGACATACCGTGAAAATGTTCTTGCTCTGTTAAGCATCATTTGGGAAATTTAAAAAAAATAAATAAATAAATAAAAAATCAAGGGGGGCTAATAATTCTGATTTCAACTGTAAAAGGTCAATTGATGTATTTACATATTACTTCAACTACCATTTACATTCTACGTTACTGCAGTGTGCTTATAACTAGGCCCACCCGGAAACTGAACGCGCAGAATTCCGCAGATTTTCCGCAGATTTTTAGCCTATCATCAATTGTGTTTCTTTACTTGAGTAAATGTGTGTAAATCTATATTTATTCAGCTTTTTTAATTATTTTAAGTAATGTTATTGACTGTGAAAATGTTAATCTGATTTATGTACAATGCAGTGTGTACAGTATTTCTTTCTGTCTTTTACTAGATATATGACAAACTTGCTTTATTTACCAAATGAAGTGAATCTAATTGGATTTGCATTTTAAACATTAAATAAAAGATAAAAATATATAATTTTTTTATTTTATATATTAAGGTTTTAAGTATGACACTCCCAAAATAACTTTTTAATAATTAATAATAATTTTTACTAATATTCTCCGCAGAAATAGCCAAAAATGTCCGCAGATTCCGTCTGGCCCTATTTATAGCACACATTAGTGTCAGAGCTAGTGTTCTTTAATGGGAATGGGCCTTTAAATAACAACCTGTAGACTCATATGATGTTTTATTTTGCATCCTAATGATGTTGCATTCAGCAGTCAGAGGCTAAACCATAATAAACTGAAATAATGATGAAAGTTTAGCAGTAAAACACAAGTGAATGCAAAAATGTCAAAAAAAGAAATAACTTTTACTATAGACCATTTTGAAGGATGTAAACAAAAACAATGGTCCCAACATATTTCCTGTCATTTTTTTTCTGAAAATCCAAAAAGAGCCACATATTGATAAATAATGTTATGATAGCTGTTTTAACATTAGGTTATGATTGAATCGCCTCTTGTTTGATGACAAGCAGGAAATGTCATTGGTCCATGAACATCACCACATTGAAATGGTCTATAATTAACCAATGACATGTTTTGTAAAGAGGAACTGTCTATTAGGCTTTCTTGTCTTTTTGTAACTAATTATCTGAGGAGTCAGTGAACAACAAACACTAAATCAGTAAAAGAAAAAAAACTCTTTTATTCTTTAATACCATATATAATGCAACAGTTGCATATCTTTGGCAAAAATAAACTTTATAAACCTTTTATTAACAGAGGTTAGCTTACAAAATCAAAAATCAGGTTCAGCCTGCCGCCTTCATAGCAGACGAACATGACAAAACTGATGGGGAAGTGGCAACTCAGTTAGTGGACCATATCTCAATAATAATAATACTATAATAATAATAATAATAGGCAGCGGTTTTCAAAATTGGCCTCAAATTCTAAAACTACTGCTCGGCTCCCCTCCCTGCGTTAATACTTGCATTCTGTATTAGCACTATGTACAGCCGGGAGGAGAAGGATTGGCAGCGATGATTAAAGTGACAGCGAAAGAGCTTCACGAGGATAGGCAGTTTTTAAATAATCAACTCATTCAGGAAGTTCAGGTTTTGCCAGTGTAATGGGGCAAGTGGCAGTTATAGTTCACAATTTCACATGCGTGGGTATATAAAATCCTAATGTAGTCTCAAACAAACACTTAAAAACCCAATCAGGAACAAACCGAAGGTCACACACAGCCAGGCAAAGTTTTGTGAGCAGCAGCTTTGGCGAAAAAGAAAAAAAAAAAAAAAATCAAACATCTTAGGAGCACACTTTACGTCCGTTTGGCTCTCCCATTGATTATTTCTCCCAAAGTCAGCACCATCTGTGAGCCGCAGTGATGGGAGAACGTCTCTCTCCTGTTTGCAGGCGCGTTTATAGTGCAATTCACATTGTTTCTGGTTTCCTCACGACTCTCTGGAGGCCTCAAAAGCAGCAGTGGGAAAGTGGCGTTTCATGGAGCTCCCCCTGCTGGACAATTCCTCACGTTTTCTACCAAAACAAAAGCCTGCTTTGGGTGGAGATGACTCTTTGAGTTGATTTGAATCTTATAGAGGAGCTAAAGAGGTTCTTGTTTTGTCATTGGCTGCTCCAAAAGCAAGCAGTACACATATGAATCAAGTCCAAAACCTGATTATTGAGATCGCTGGCGTCTGGGAAACACTGAGGTGGAGGTGCATGCAAGCTGATTCTTTCGAGCTGTCCTCCAGTCATAATGATCAGGATCGGGGGGCGGGGACACACAAATGATCCAATCAGGATGCACGAGAAGAGTCATGTGACTTTGACATCATAACTGCGGCAGCGAAAGGCTCCCAGGGGCATGCCGTCACAACACATGAGATATAAACCAGCAGTACAAAAATAAAAGAACTACAGGTATTTAGGTGGACTAATTATTGCATTTCTTCTTTGTATCATGTTTATAGTATGATCCAAAAATCAATGGCACTTTCAAATTGATGTTTTCTTAAGCTTTTTTTGTTTCCTTCTATGGTGAAGAAGCGTGGGAGCTTGTACAATCCATGCATTCGTTTTTTTTTTTCTTCATATAAATAAGTTTTGTGTTGATTTAGAGGTGGAAGCATGCAAATCTTTTTTTCTTTAACCAGTGTGTTTTTTTGTAATGATTAACATCTTCAAATCCTCTTCGTATGAACTCAAAATGACGTGGGCTGTTTGTTTTCTGTACATAAAACATGTCAGTATGGCTTTTCTCTCCTGTGTTTGTATTGCCATGTTTTGATGAGTGGACCGGGGATGTAATCCCGGTTAAAAAGACGAAAAGAAAACACCCCAAAAACTAGAAATGAAAAGGAAGAAACACCAAACCAGAGGAGAGAGCGAGATAAATAGGTTGGGCAGGCCACAGGATGAAGTTACAGAATTGGGTTCATTTCCTACTGAGTTTCCTGCTCTTGCGTCTTGAGGCGACTAAACTGGTGCGAATACCGGCTAGGTGTAATAGCGATCCAGCCGCCTCCTTGAGCTCCTCATCCACATCGGGACGTGAATCTCTTCGGCTGCGTTTCCCTAAAAGCTGACCCTGCAGTGGATTGTGTGGCCATCGTCTCTCCTGATCGTGGTGCAAACCTAGGCTGAAGTTGAGCGGCTGTGAAAGAGGCATCTGGCGAGGGCAGGGAGGGGCAGGGGTGCTGCTGTAGTTGTGATCCTGCTTTGGATCCCGACTCACCACCACCAAGTCCCTTCTGGAGAGATCGATGGGTCCTTCTTGTTCTTCTGGGTCTGAAAAAATTGGAGTAGTAAATGATGAGGAGAGATGATTTTATACAGAACTGCGTGAACTAATAAATATAAAACCAAATTTACTAAAACTTGAAAATGTGCAGGAAATACAAAAATAAGAAACAAAAAGTAATAAAAAAAGTTATAATATATCATAATATAATATAATATAATAACCCAAAAACTAAAAATGAACTAATTTTTGTTACATATTTTACATTGATATCCATTTATTTTACTTTATTTGAAGGTACAATTCTCACTACTAACATACCATTAACCGTCCAACACTAAAATCTGGACTTTACTAGAACTTTTAAATTAAGCTGCTTTGACACAATCTACAATGTAAAAGGGCTATATAAATAAACATGAATAGAACTGAATTGAAGAAGACTTTTAGTCGAATAAACTCCTAATTTGTTGCTTTCCCTGCTATTTTACCTTTACATTTTTCATGGAACCTAGCTGCATTTAAGGTAGTACAAAATATGAACACATTAAGACAAATTAAAAAGATTTTGTTTTTGTTTTTTAAACGGAGGGTTGGTTCTTTATTTTGATATATAATATGTCATATATTCCAAGCCGAAAGTATTACGAAGGCTGTCAAATTACATGACAATCATCAAAAAATGCTGGCAGTGGCTGACAAAAAAATAAATAAAAAATAATAATGATAAAAAAAACACTGGCAGAAAAACAGCTAAGGGTTATTAATATAGTAGTTAGGTGTAGGTATGGGGTATGATTGGGAATGTAGTAGGGCTGCTTGATTCTGGCAAAAATTTTAATCACGATTTTTTTTTGCTTGAATTAAAGATCACGATTTTCTCATGATTCTGTAGATGTAAAATAAAGGTTAATATCAATAGGTTATTATTATTATGCTCAAACATATGGTAAAACAACAATAATATTATGCCTATGTGCAGGTCTACTGTTGGTTAAAATACAAATTTTTATTTATAGACTTTGAATGGTGGACTTGAATAAACCTAAATCTTGACCTGGTTGTTAAATCACAGAAAAGTGATGTCATCAGAATACAACTATTCATAATTCTAAAGCCAAATTATTATGTGTGAGACATATGCTTGCAATCTGTCAGACAACATTATTAGACCATTTTTCACTGGTAAAATCAGACATTTGTCATTATCAGGTTCCCTCTTGCATTTTATTCAATATTATATAGGCTAGTGTACACTGAAAAAAATGATGTCTGCAAATTTGTTGCCAACAATTTAGGTGTTGAATTTAAAAAAACAATTTCAATTTAACTTTTTTTAAAAATTGTAAATGCAAGGAATCATTATTGAAAATTATTAATATTGACATTTATTTTCATGTGCAACACTTTGTGTTCTCTATGAAAGAAAAATCATATCAAATGCGTGTCGTAATCATAACTGTAAAATGCGTTATGATCATTTAAAGGATGTGTGGGTGCGGCTCCTGTCATGGCTGTCGTCTCTTTGAGGAAAAAACATGCATGCAAATCATACTTCTTGCGTGGTTCTCAAACGTTAGAACAGAAATTACATTAATTACATTAGGACAGAAATTACATTTTTGGGAAAAATGTATTCCTTACAAATACAGTATATGACTCGTTCAACATTATTTGTCCACGTTGCTGAATAACGTATATAAAACAATGTAAATACTTGTGCATATATAAAGTGCTTATAAACTTCATAAGCACAAATAAATTGTTAAAATCTTAATAAGCAGGTAATAAGCTACTATTCATTATTAAACTGTTAAAATGTTGCTGTGGTTATATTAACTGAAATATATTTATTGCAATGGAAATTAAAGTATAACAATTTCAGGATAATTTAAATACATCTCATTTCTAATTTAATTTGAATATTTCATCAGCCATTTTATTATACTTTTTTCTCTTCAAATACTTTATCTGAACATAATTTATTGACTGATAAAACCAAAATACATTTTAAAATGTTTATATTCCTGCAGTTGAACAGTTGAGTTTCAGTGGCAAAGCTAAACAATCAGTCATTCCTCCAGTCTTCACTGTCACACATGTTCCCTCACACACATGATTGCTGAGATTATGCAAACAGGTAAATAGATGCATGTCCTGATGAAAATAAACCTGATGTAAAACAAAAAAGAGACAAACAAAAAGTGAGGAGAAAAAAGATGTATATGATGGTGTATGGTGGTCTCTTACATGAGTCAATGTTCTGCTCAGAGGCAGACTTTAACAGCATCATGGCAGTGGCAGCATCAAAATCACATTCTGCAAAGAGAAAGAAATGTGTGATGCACACAAGTATTGACTGTGTGGTGTGTGTGTGTGTTTAAATGAATGAGTCACTTCCACCCAGGAGCAAAACAGTCTCTCGCTCTAATTTCAAAGTACCAGTGCCTTGGTTACCAAACACAGGAAAGAGATGTGCAGTTTCGACTGTACCAAATAGAGGGTGAGTGGAACACAAAGAGCTGAGATGAGTGATAGACCTCAATGTATAATGACATGTCTGAAAATGGTGTGTGTGACAGATGTGACTAGATCATGGACTTTCTGTACAGACCTGTAATGAAGAAGTCTACTAACCTTTTAGGGCACAGCCCTGCTCCGAAGTGAAGAGGTGATGAGGAGGAGATGAGGCACTACACGGCAGAGAGAAAAAGTCAAAAATATTACAACACTTCAAGTCCTATGTAATAAAACAGACCATTACAATTATAGAAAGAATGACAGACATAACATTAGATGTACAGAAATATAAAAGGAATGACAGAAAAACAGATGAATTAGACCAATCAAAATAAAGGTTTGAATATCAAGACTAATTAAACTCTCAATACTCAGAATCTTTAGATAAAACTTTGAAACCACGGAGCGATCGAATAATAAAACAATAGACAGAACAACACAGAAGAATAGAAATGACAGACAGAAAGATAGAATAAGAGAAAAACAGAATGATAGTTGGATTGATAAACAGCAATATAATGACAGAACAATAGAAAAAAAGAAATATTAGAATGATGGGATTAACAAAAGAGAGATGTATGGAGAAAAATAAAATAAAGAACTACAAAATGGAACACAATGACAGAATGATGGATAGAATGATTGGAACCATAATTATTGTGAAAAGGGCTATACAAATAAACTTGAATTGAAATTAAGATAATAATAAAATGATCAACTAATAAAACAATAGAAATATAAATTAATGGAACGGTAGAAAGAATGACGGAACAGCAGAAAAATAGAACAGACAGAATGATAAATAGAACATTAGAATGATGGATAGAATAGAATAACTGATGGAAAGAATGGTAGAACAGATAGATTGAACAGACGGATAGAGACATAGAATGGATGGATGGAAGGCATGGATAGATTGATAGTATAAATGATTAAATGGATGGATGGAACAGTAGAACAGACAATAGAATGATAGTAGGATGGATATAGCGATAGAAGGGACTGACAAAATGCATGGGTTAAATGATAGTACAAATGATGAAACGGATGGTTAGAATAGTAGAACGGAGGGATAGAATGATACTAGGGCTGGAAAGAGCGATAGAATGGATGGAAAGAGCAATAGAATGCAATGGATAAAGCAATAGAATTGATGGATAGAACACATGAATGGAACAGTAGTATAAATTATAAAAAAAACAGTAGAACGGATGGATAGAAAAATATGTGAATAATATATAAGATATACGATAGAACAAATGAACAGACAGACAGATGACTGACTGACTGACTGACTGTTGGATGGATGGATGGATGGATGGAACAATAGAACAAACGGACAGACAGACAAATAGATGGATAAATGGATAGATAGAACAGTAGAATGGATGGTTGGAATGATAGAACGAATTAACAGACAGACAGACGGATGGACAAAACTTTAGAAATTTAGTACAATAGAACTACAGAAAAGAACAATAAAAAGTTAGAACAATAGATAGAATTATTGATAGAATAATAGATAGACAAACAGACAAGGATAAAATAAAGAACAATAGAATGACAGACAACAATAAAATAATTGACAATGATAAAACAATAGAAATATAGAACAGCACATTGACTGATAGAAGGAACGACAGAGTAAGAGACATAAGCCTAGATGAACTGTATGTTGTACACCGAGGCCAGTGTTGATACCTAGGAGGGGAGGCAGGCGGGGTGCAGAAGGCATGAGCATTGGGGAAGTGCTGCTTCTTCAGGGCCTGCATCAGCATGGGCCGAAACTCAGGATGAACGCACCACAGAGAGCCTTTCCCATTGGTCTAGAAAGAACAGAGAGGGGAGGAGTCAAGCATGTATTATCAGCATGATGGTGTGAGAGCAAGACTCAGGTTAAAAGACAACAGGACCATCTGTCCTTCTGATCTGACACCGTGCATTCAAAATCACATCACACAAAATGATCCTAATGAAATATGAAACAATAGCGAGCACAAGGAGAGTGTGTGTGTAATGTTGGCTCCTCCTGTGTTTGCATTAGCATGTGTGAATAAAGGACTCGTCGTCAGTCTTTGTGTGAGGTGTGGTCCTGCAGGGGGAACATGACCTTGACTCACTTCACTAGCCGTGTTCATAAACAGGAAAGAGGAAACATCGCCATGGCAACAGACACCAGGCTGAGACATATGAAACCCACAGATTCACACACAATGTCACACGCTGATGAAACATACAGTCCGCACCGCTCCATTATGGCTTGCCCTCACACACACACACACACACACACGTATATGTGTGTGTGTGTGTGTGTGTGTGTGTGTGTGTGTGTGTGTGTGTGTCTTCTGGAAGTACCTAGCAAAGTCCACCAAAGAAGGTCGAGTGTTTTTACACTTGGCTCCATAGCTGTCCTAATTTAGATCTACACTGCCAGTCCAAAGGTTTGAGATCAGGATTTTCACTTGTTACAAAGTAGTGCAAACAAGGTTATATTTATTTCATTTTAAAAACACATGGTTTCTGCAGGTTACACCCATGTTAAATATAAGAATTTAAGACATTTTAACACCTTTATGAATGAAATTTTAGACTTCTACTAAAGATGCTCTGATCAGGATTTTTGCAGCCGATACCAAGTACCAATTCCTTGTCATGGTGATTGGCCGATAGCAAGTACCAATTCTGATGCTTCAAGCTTTCTATAACTTTTCCATTGCATAAATGATTTTCCCGTTTAAGTATGATACTTAACAGGAGATCTCTCCTTGTCTAAGAGAATTAATGAAGGATGTTGCATGTAACGACTTAAAGAGCCTCTAGTATGGGTTTTTGAAAATTACCCTCCATGTAGGGTGTAACACAGCTCTAAGTGAAGTGAAATATCCAGTAAAGGCTTAAATCTGAAAATACACTATGTTTAAAACTACAGATTAATCTATAAAAGAGTTGAATCATAGTAGTTTGAATGAATAGTTACAGTAATGAGTCTTTAGCCTTTTGCCGCTGTGTGGATTTAAAACTGAACTTGTGCCACTGTTTTTACTTATGGTTAAGAATGGAGCATTATGCTGGTGTTAAACTGCATTGCTTTAATGCATTTCTGCACTGGGCTCAAACATACACTTTGCACTCTGACTACCTCAAAATTGTTGAAAAGCCATAGTGGGCATTTCTCTCTGTCTCCTGCTGAACGCAGTCGACCAATCACAACAGACAAATCAGTGCAGATTAGCATCGCTCTAAGGAGGGGTTTGGGAACAAATGTATCGCTGAACGAATCATTTGAGAGTCGTTGGGATAATAAGGTAAAAATAAATGCATATTTTAAGACAATAAATGTGTTTTTTGACCGTGCATGCATATCAGATTGTTGTTGAAGACCCCAATGCCAAAATATTAGCCTTTTTAATACATAATAGGGACTCTTTAAACATGTCTCATTTAACCATTTAGGTATGGACATGTCAGATTAAATGTGTCCATGTAAACAAAAGATTTTAAAAAATGGCAAGAAAAACAAATAACAAAGCAATTTAGAAACATTTTAAATGATGGAAGAAGAGTTCAACATGTCTCAATAAAGAAAAAGTTTGGAGCACATATGTGATGCATAAGAAGTTGAAATGCAAACCTATAAATACATGTTTGTTTATTGCAGTAAGTACATTACAAAAAGGCATAATAATAAATATTCAATATCCATATATTTCATTAAAATGTTCAGCCAGGTTTTAGCAAACTGTTGTTGTAAATAAATTGTAAATAATTTAGTTAATTCAATAGTTTAGTTCATTATATATATATATATATATATAAAATGGCCTATATACATGCAAGGACATTCCAATATTTTGTTTTACAAACAGGTCGGTTAAATAAAATATTAATATATATATATATATATATATATATATATATATATATATATATATATATATATATATATATATATATACATACACACTGTTTGAATTGTGAATGAATGGAGAATGATTGACAGGCGCAGCGGAGGGAAGCGCTGATCTGAACATGAGTTTAACCACTTGAATATTCATCTGTGCTTCACGTTAAACTACGAAACGGCTTTAAAACATTTTGGATATAGTAGGCCTACATGACAACTTTCTAGTGTCTTTTAGTAGAATACCTTCGTGGCTTTTGTTGGCTTATAAATTACAATGAATATGGCGCATGCGCAAGATCGGATTTGGATCGATACCAGCTGAAAAAATATGCGGTATCGAACCAATATCCAATCCAGGTATCGGGATCGGTGCATCCCTTCCTAGTACACACTGTATATATAGAAGAGTCAAGCTTTAAACAAGAAAATTGTCTGAACTAATTTTTAAATTGAGCGAGATGCTAACGGTCTAATTTGATTCAATGATTTATGCTAAGCTAATCTAAAAGTGCTCCCGCCAGTTCTGGTGAATGGATTAAAAAATTGTTAAACCCTATTTGCAAGAAAGTGGCATGCTCTTTTAATTTACTGTAATAAATCGAATCATGCTTGCTTTCTGTAAAGCTGCTCAGAAATTATATGCATTGTAAAAGGGGCTATACAGATAAATTTGAATTGAATCCAGGGTTCCTGTAGAAGAAATGAAAACATCTGCCTCACTGGTTTTCAAAAAGCCCTAAACCAATATCCCTTTTGACAAGCCTGTTAGCAGACTGCAGTCAGCGCTGCACTACTTTATACACTGACCCAGTTAGTGAAACGGCTGGCTATGCTGCAGTGTGCCGTCAACCGGTCTTGAAAAAGAGATTTTATGCTAATTTATTTTAAGGCTCACTAGAATACTTGATTTTGATAGGCCAGTCAAAGAATACTGAGGTCAAATGTTTATATTTGAGCGTTGTCCCTGGCAACCGTTTTCACTGTGCTAGTTTCAGGTCTCCTGTAGCATTATGCTGTCATGCATAATAAAAATGATTTCCACCTTCATTAATGTTTTAAGTCTATTTAATTTGGGAGATACTGTGCAGCGGAAAGTTTATTCTTGCAAAATATAGCTCTTTATGATAGGGCCAGCCGGCCAGGAATTATTTAATTATTAGTTGCATTTATCCATTATAGGTACAAGTGAATTTAGGCATCACACCATTATAAAGTACAGTGCAAATTCTGCTAAACAGAAATACATGTCCATAACAGTGATGCTTTTGCATTATTCATATATAATTAATGGTATTTATTATATTTTGGGGTCTGGTTATATGTTTAATTATAATTTTATTGATTTGATGTGAGTTTTTGCTCAGTATACTTATTCAGCTTTTAATTTATTTATTTTTTTAATTTACATTTTGTCTTTATTATTTATACATGTATGACATAATATTTTAATGTATTCAAATAAATTTTCTATTAACAAAAAATAAATAAATAAAAAATAAATAAAATAAAAAAAAAAAATCACAAAAATATTGCTAATAGTGTGAAATCATGCTTAAAGTAAAAAACAACTGATGAAATTGCATCCACAGTGTCCAGACTTAATATTTTACAGGCGATATGTGATCTCCAGGACAAAGAAACAATTATACAACAGCTTAAATCTAATAAATTACTCCTAGAACACATTTGTTAACTGAAATAAAAATTAAAAACGAGAGTTTAAAAAAAAATAGAAACAACTAAAACTGTATTGTGTACATACAAAACTAACTGAAACTAACTAAAATTACAGCAAAAACATCCTTTGTTTTCGTCTTTGTAAATGTAATAATACAGACTGTAAGCCTTTAAGAAGTAAATCTATTTACTTCACGCTGCCAGTCTGTAATCCTGATGCATATTGGCCAGGTCAAGCCAGTGCTCCTCCAGTCAGGCTTCGCCGTTGCTCCCGTGACAAAAACAACGACTGGACATGACAGCAGCACGGTGACAGCTTTAAATAAGACTTAAATTAATACTTTTTACACAATTGTGCCCATTAGTGGGTTTTATTTATATATTAGTGATCGTGATCGCAACAAGTCAAACTGAATCATTTGAAACAATTCGCATCTCCATTAACGTTAAGCACTTATCCACAAACAACTTTTTAACATGTGTAAAACCCCCCTCTGACTTGAAATACATAATCAATATATACAGAGTTATTCAGTTATTAGAACAACACACAAGTGGTGAGCCGATAATTCTGCGCATGCGTGATTAAGCGAACCGAACAGAAACATGACAGACTGCTGTTTCTGAACTAAACTTGAACAACTGCAGCGCAGGTAAACCAAGGGCTAAAATTAGAGGTTCTAGTGAAACACAAGTTTACGTCATAACAGAAAGTGAGTAATGCTTCAGTTGGGTTGCAAAACATAATTGTAAGAAACTTTTCAGATCATGCTGATGTTTTTACTGACTGCAATTATGATTGCTGATTATGTTTTTAATATGTTGAGTCCTAACATGGGAAGATTGTCACTGAAGATCTGGTTCGTGTTAAAGATCTGAACTTCTCATCACTACTGTGTATCTAATCTCAGAAGCAGCCTTGCACACATATTTTACCTAAGGCTGCTATCTTGTGGGCTGTTGTATTTGAATTTGAGCATGGGTAGATGCTAACATTAGTGGTAGATGGTAACATTAGTGTTCTTATGTCAAATGTAGCCAATCTTTGGTTAAGTTTTTTTTTTTTTTTTTTTTTTAGAATATTTATTATGCTGACTTTGAATTTCGCACAAAAAATATCCTAGTTTACACACAAAAAAACAAAACTAATACTGAAACTAATAAAAAATAAACTAAGCAATTTCAAAATTTAAAAACTAATAAATCTCCCTCTAAAAACTAATTAAAACTAGCTGAATTTTAAAACTACGTCAAAACAAAAAACTAAAACTAATGAAAAATCCAAAACTGTTATAAACTTGATTGAGTAATTGATTTTTATTTTTATTTCACTTTCTTCAGAAAATACAGTTGTGCTTAAAAGTTTACTTACCCCTGAAAGAATTAGCTAAAATGTGAATAATTTTAACAAAATAAGAGAGATCTTACAAACTGCTTGTTCTTATTTATTTAGTAATGTAACGTAATGTGTATTTATTTAGCACTGTCCTGAGTAACATTGTACATAAAAGATCAAATCTGCAGAAGATGTTGGAAAACTGAAGAATCTGCAGGAGATGGAGGATTTTTCGGAAGAGTAGCAATCAGTTTAAATATTCAGAACAAACAAGAGACTGGTGAACAACCATCACAAAGCAGAAAAAGCACTCGTCGATCATCAGGAAACCACACACTATTGAAAACCAAGGGGTGTGTAAACTTTTGCAGGGGGTTATTTTAATAATTTCAGCTAGATTTTTGTCTAGTAAACTATATGTAAACATATTATGTACAATATCTTAATCAGAACAGTACTAAATAAAAGCCACATGGATTTTGTATGACCTTTCTGATTTTATTAAAACTATTCACATTGAAACTAATTCTTCAAGGGGTATGTAAACTTTCGAGCACAACTGTATAACCACAAATGTTTCAGCTTAACCCCTTCCTCAGTGTGTGACCTGATGACACACTAAGGGATGAGTGGAGTTCAATGAGTTGGACCATCTTTTTATAAGAAGTGCAGATCATGACAGAGTTATTCCAAAGTGTGTACCCACTTTTTGTTTGCATCATGATAAACAAAAAACTCCAAATTTAAATGTGAATATTCATAAAGTACTGTACAAAAGCTGTAGTTGTAACGATACTGAAGTTTAGTATTTAGTACATTTGATTGCTGTTCAGCACGTTCTTAAACACCACTGAATTGCCATTGTGTTCACATGCTCAACATAAAATACTGTGACTGGCTGTAAAGGTCATCATTTTATAGAACTCACCACTGTTTACTGAGTGTAAACTCAGATACAAGGACACTGGAGCTTTATAAGGCCCGATATATCAGTGGATTGCTTGTATGTCAGCTTATAGACAAACCAGCTGATCAAGGTGACTGAAATGCACCAGTGTCCCTGTATTTGTGCTTACACTCAACAGTGGTAAGAGCAGTTACCCGATGACCTTCACAAAACACAATCACAAATCAGCGCTGTTTAAGAACGCGCTCCACATCGCTCAAATGTTAACAGCAAATGGACATATTTAAAATTTCGATTCAAACCAAATATATCGTAGCTTAAGTATCGATTGGTACCGAATTCCGGTATCGCGCAACCCTATTTTAAAGGCTAAGAAATTGCACATTAGCAGTACATTTGACTAAGCTAAAAGTAGCAAGATTAGCTTATGATTAAATATCCAATATTGATTCATGCAATAAATAATAAAAAATATATAAAAAATAAGGAGATAAATAAAAATAAACATCATAATAGTCTAATACGACTACTCTTTATACAGTGCTCAGAATAGATGATTACACCCCACACAAATGTCTCTTTTAAATTAATATTTTCTTTAAGATGCTTTATAATATTGTGTATTTGTGCAAATACATTGGATTAGTCAGCACTAAAGCCAAATCTGGAGCTAATCTAACAAAATAACTTCTAATAGCAGTTCAAAAATTTTTAGCCCAAATTTATGTTAGAGAAAAATATTTTTAAAAAAGGAAAATAAAACAAGGGGGGAAAAAAAAAATCAAGAGAAGCAAAAAATATGTATATAATTGTTTTAAGTTTCTAATTTTGTGCAGTATTTCACATGAATTTACATGTATTATCTTTCTATTTCCAAAGATGTTTGGTAACTAAAATATTACTTTAATAAATATATGTGTTTAATAAATTGGTTTTGTTCAAATGCACCAAAATATATTACCCATATTCAGAGAAAAGGATAAAAATATACATTTTCAAAAGGGGGTGTACTCAATTATGCTGAGCACTGTATGCTTTCAATTAACGTACTTGTTTTTTGTTAATGACTGGCTGACTTTTCTCTTTTATCGAGTCTGGCAGCAACATGTTACTTTTATTACAGTACAATACTTGCATTTAATAACACTAGTGTAACAAATTTCAAAGTAGATATCAGTAATAATATTACACATAGTATTCATAAATTAGCTTGTTACATTACGTCTGTTGCCTTAACCCCAACTAACTTCAAAATCAACAGTCCAACTAGGGTTGGGGTGATAGACATTGCAATCGTCCATCGCCAATGTCCATCACGACGCTGAGCCTGCAGCGCGATCCTCCATGCCGCCCCTATCTCAGCAACAACCCACTCCTGAAAAATACACACTTAGGCCCCGTTTACACTAATAGGTCTTGGTGTTAAATTGGCATTTTAGAACAAAAACGATTACGGATTACGTACTGCTGAAAAAGCACATTATGTGACCACACACAGACACACACACACACACACACACACACACACACTCTGTCATGTACACGTCTGAGCTCCTGGCAGTCAGCGGGTGCTTTTGAGCACAAAACTCCAGAGAGCAGTGCACATCAGACAGTTCATCAAGGATGTAACACTGCATCGCGTCTCACTACAGTTGTTAAACGTGATATTTAATTAATCTTGTCTCTATCTAACGGCTCTTCTGTCTTTTGAATCTATTAGGTAATGTGTCACAGCGTCAGTACACTGCTTCAATCTTTCGCTTTCACGCATGTACTTAGTAATTTTAGCGAACACTTAGATTCTGTTGGTTGGTTCCTGTTGGTTGTGCACCTTTTTTACCAAGTTTGTCAACGCCAATATAACGACACAGATCAATCTGCCTATTCATGCCAAAGTCCCGTGGAAAAAGTGATTGACAGGTGTTAATTTGTAAGTAACTTATCTTTATTTATTTATGATTTGGTTAAGGGTAAAACAAAGACCATGCGGGTCAGGTCGTTGAAACTGCATGCTACAAATAATAAATTCATTATGATTTAACTATTCAAAAATAGTTAATTCACTGCCACCTACGACGATGATGCCATCATTCATCGCGATGTTTCACATTAGACGTCGTACAATGCCAAATTGGTCGACATCGCCAAAAACGGCAAAATCAAATGGGGGTTTTAATCACATAATGAGACCAATTACTTCTTTATCAGCATTTTAGAATAAGCTAATCACTACACTTGATCAAATAACAACATCACTCGCTTTTGAATGAATATTAAGTAATCTGTTGTTTTTGTTTTTTTTTGTATCACATGGCCAACATTAACCATTACACACACAGCATATGAAAAGGCTCTTACCTTTCCTATGCTTCTCTCTACTTTGCGGAAGCACTTGTTAAGAGACAGGTTGTGGCGCACTGAGTTCTTCCAGCCAGTAGGGGCGCTGGAGAAATATGGAAAATGCTTGAGGATCCAGCCGTAGATGTCCTTCACTGGGAGAGATTTGCTAGGTGACTGCTCGATGGCCATGTATATCAATAAGGAGAAAGAGAAGGGAGGCTTAGACTTGTAAGGATCTCTTTCGCTTCCTGTCGAAACAGAGGAGGCGGATGAATTGGTGTTGCTATGTGGTGACCCGATGCCACCCTCAATGTCAAACAGTGGGCTGTTGATGGGTTGTGCCTCGGGCCCTCCAAGAGAGAAGTTCTGTAGCAAGTTCTCATGAAGCCAGTTCAGGTTTGTGAGCTCGTCGTCTTCAGACTCGCCTGCCACAACACTGACAGATCGACCAATTTGATCTAGACTGGTGGCCATTGGACTGGAAGCACTCTCTGCTTCAGGGAGAGTCCCAGCTCCACACGCTCCCTGTGCTCCAGGAGATTCGGCTTTCTTATCTGGAGACATGCCGATTATCGGACCCATCAAACCAGGAGGGTCTGCGGAAGAAAAGAAGATTGGTGAAAACAGGTTTTTATAGTGATCAATGGTGAATAAATGGTGCTGTGAGAGTTTACAAATAAAAAAGGTAAATGCAATTAAAGCCTTGGTCAGATCACACAATTCTGGCACGATTAACTTGACGTAATGTGTCGTAGGGACTCGTGAATGACAAATGGGCGTTTTGACACAAGATTCAATAGTTTCTTCTCGTGTAATGTGGCATAGTTAACGTCAACCAATATCATGTCTGTGACACCTCACGGCACCATCGCAGAAAGTTTAGCATGTTGATTTTTTCCCCGATCTTCACAACGAGTTCCATCACATGGGTGACACTGGACAAAAGGAGCACATCATTTCTCAGTTATATCTGTGGGTGCTACCGTTAATTCATCGGTCATGTAATCAAAGTTCATTAAAAATGAATCAATCAAGCTCAATTATTGCTTAAGCAAACTTTAACTACTTTCTCTAAAATAATTAAGTGTTTTAATTCATTTTATTTGACAGACTGGCACAAATATGCAGACATCTTCATTCTCAGAACAAGTTTCTGAGTTCTCTCAGCCTTCCAACTGAGTTCCTTTTTTCGAGTTAATCAGGAAAGTTTAGTTCGGCGAATACATACTTTACTAACTAAACTAATTAAATTGAAACTGTCTCGCTCAATGGATGATTTTGTCATTAAAAATGAAAAAAGTTAAATATAATTTTTCCTAAAACTGTGAATTTTCATTTTATTTTATTTAGGCTAGATTTTATTTTATTTAATAAACCAGTTTGTGCTTTGATGCTGAAGCATACAGCGTAATGGTTTTGAAGCAGTACATTTAGATTTAAAATAAAATATACATTTGATCTTATCAATGCCATAATAAATGCCCTTAAATAATATAGCCTAGTTGTCAGCAAGCATCAGTGTTTATTGAGGTTGACATAAGATTTTTAAAAAAATTAACTTAATAAGATATTTTGTTATAGCAACACTTTTGACTTTGGGAAATAACGCTCATCGTAGATACAACAAGATGACTGATTGTAAAGGAACATGTAGTCTGGCACATTTGTTACCCACGACAAATCAAGATTTCATCCAGACAAAATTGCATAATCTGACATAGTGACTTTCATAACCGGCAATAAAATTGTGTGATTTTACCAGGGCTTAAGACTTTCAATTACGATTAATGCGCTTCTGAATAATAATAGAAACCCAATTTTAAACATTATTACGCTTAGGCAATGTATTTATTTCTATATATAAACATATATAATATATTTATATAAAAATATATATATTTTTATATTTTTTATTTCATTTCACAACTGCTGATTTGTTATATCAGTCCTTAAATGCTATAGCTGATATTCCAGTTATTTAAAAGTGATCAAATACAGTTCTAATCACTAATACTAATCAAATATCAGCAGTCAATGGCCTAATGCATCTGTAAAAATATCAATTAAATGAATTACATCATATATGCAAATTAAACAACAACAAAGTATTATAAAGTCCAAAGCATGCTGCCACTTGCATGTTAAGAGTATCTGTGAGAATCAGAAATTAATGGGGGCTTGTAGTGGAAATACAACCAAAATAAACAGAACCGTTCAACAAATTCAAGATAAGAGCGGAGATGTATAGTAACGAAGAACTACTTCACTACTGTACTTAAGTACAAAAAGGCAGTATCTGTACTTTACTGGAGTATTGTTTTTTTCTCGTACTTCCACTTTTACTTAAGTACATATTTCCATGAGTTTAATACTTTTACTCCGATAGATTTTTATGTGCTGCATCGTTACTCGTTACTAGGGGTGTCAAAATGATCGATATCAGTTCAGTAATAGATCATAACCGGTTATTACGTGATGACGTAATTTATCTCCTATGCGCGATGTCGCAATACTATGGCGGAGGACGGAGGCGCGAGGGTGAGGCGGCACAGCACACAAGCCGCTATTTCACTATTAGGGAGAAATGTTGTAAAACTTCGCCTCTGCCTCTCTCTTTCTCACTTTGGACATTTGACCCGCTGGCCTGTTTGTAAGGTAACTTGTCCTCTCTTCTTGGCTGTTAAAGCTGTGGATCCATCCAGACACGAGCGTGTCTGATGTGCAAGTTTTCTCCACTGTGTCTAATACCTGTGATAACCGCGTATTCTTCCCGCCATGGCTGTACAGCGCTTCATTTCTAAAGCCCTTTCTGTTGAGCAGGTGAAAAGTAACCAATCATAAGACCAGCGCTCAAAAAGCAGGCGGGATAATATAGACATTAGTTTATTAGCTGTAAATGCTCATGCAGTCTTCTGCCAAATATTGTTGTTAAAAGATTTTGGGTGCATCATTATTAATGTGTGCATTTTGCCAGATGTTTCCAAAGTATAACCTCTATCAGAAAGAAAAAAAAACAAAAGAAAACAGGCACTTCTTAATACACTAGCATACAACTGACACCTATCAGGCAATTAAACCATAAATTTTTAAGTTAAATTGTAATATTTATAATTTTAAAAGTGGTCAAAGAACTGGATATCTTTATGTTTCCAGCTTCTTTTAATACACTGTCATCTCTATGCCTGCGCCATTTCTCTTGAAGGAATTAAGAGGCCCTTCAGGACAGAGTTAAGGGCCTCTTAGGTGTCTACTCAAGTGCCCGCGAGAACCATGACCCTCATCTTCAAGACAAAACCGCACAAGAACAACTAGACTGGGTACTCTAGGGTTCTCAAACAATCACTAAAGACTGTTATCAGCTCATGCAATAAATCAAACAAGGATGGAGAGGATAAGCGATATCCAGTTCCAAACTGAAGTCTAAAAAGACACACAGAGGAGGGAAAAAAAAAAACTCCAATCAAAAAGCTTCCTGCCACTGGCTTTAATGGACAGCCATGGAAAGCGCACAGAATATTTATAAATAAATCATCAGCTCAAGTAAAAGAGGGTTGAGTGCCTAGGAGAGTGAATGTTTCTCTGCCCACTATTATACCCAGTGCCATGGAAACCATACAGCACATCAATAAATAAATAATCACATAAAGTGCTGCTCTGAATCATTCCCTCTCCCACTCTGGAGAATAGAGTGGAGGGCACAGGGAGGGGGATCCACTTCCTCTTTCAGACCGTTCAAAACACCTAAGACACAAATAAACATCTTCCTCTGCACATGGGAACTGACAAAAAACAGCTCTTACACAAAGTTTTAGGGATCAGTCGCACCAAAATTAGTCATCATTTTAAAACCTCTGTGTCACTCCAAACCAGTTTGGAACTAGTCTTTTAATCAGTGAAACACAGAGGAGATACTTTGAAAAATGTTTGCGCTGTTCTATTTAAGCATTCAGTGAAACTTTATTTGAATCAGCATCTCTTCAACTACAAAACTGGGGGATGAAGCTTTTGCAGAGAAACTTCCAAAGACAATTCCTTGTTTGACTTCAGATGGCAATTTAAGGCCCTATATACACTAATATGTTTTAGTTTAAAAACGCATAACTTTTCCACAGTTACGCCTTTCATCCACTACTCCGAAGTTTACGGAGCATAGAAGAGGCCGTTTGGTTTTAAAACACTGCTTCTCCGTGCCAGTGTGGATGGGGGAAAACAGAGATATCTGAAAACAGAGGTGTGGCTTCAGACATTCAGCTATCACATCTGATTGGAGCTTATTCCTCAATATTAAGTGCACAAAATTCAGTCTTGCACCCTTTCCCTAAGTTCAGACTTCGCAAGTTTGATATCGAAATACACGTTGGTAAATATTTCCGACGGTAAATATTTAAGATATAAGAAACTGCCTATTTTCATTTTGATATTAACTTATTTAGTGTCTGGTATGTTGAGGTGTCGTGTAGCTACATATTTATGTGCCAGTTATCTTCACTAAATGAATTTTTAAAATAAAACGGAGCCTATACCAACTGTTAGGGATGTCCCGATACAACATTTTAACTTCCGATACGATACCAATATTGCAACCTTCAGTATGAACCGATACCGATACAAATCCGATACGTGCACAAATCATTAATACTTTTACCTATTTCATTGAGTGGAATGTATGAATGGCTAGATCAAACTAAGAACAAAAGTCAGCTACAGTAAGTATGGGAAAAAAAGCAATTTATTAATTATTATAAAATATAATTATATAAACTATTCTAAAAACAGCTGGGAGCAGAAACATAAGAAAACTAAATTGTTAACTGACCAACTGCTAAAGTGTCTAAAGTTTCAATTTCACGCACAGCTTTTTGATGAATATTAGATCCAGTTTCGAGCTGAAAAATATCTTTCACACTGGGCAGCAGAAATAAGGAGTTATTGTTATAAATTATTGTTAAGTTAATAAAAATGTGCAGTATGGTTAGTGCAAACATTTACATGATCAGATCTATTTAATCTGTGTTTGTATCATAAGAAAATTATGGCTGTATCAATGTTCCCAAACAAAACATTATTAATTTCATAATAATATATATTCAGATATTATCTTTAACATAAATATACTTGCAGTACCAGGATTAAAACACACCTTTTCTCCAGAGCACATGCAATAATCTGACTTTTAAAAATAATTTTATTTATCAAAATTCATTTTATTTGCATAATAGATTGCTCAGATTCCACCCTACTTCCCACATGGGAAAAGTACGACAATGTAAATAAAGACAGAACTGCTAACTCATGTGCAAAGCTGACAATGTTTATCAGAGCACTTTATCTTTCTGGGCTTTTTAAAGAAGAGTTAAACATGGGAATACCTCTAATTAAATTTTCCTTCTGCCCGAAAGTAATACCATTTTTTCTTTTAAACTGTAATGGCCCTCAGCAACAGAATGATTTCTTATTCTTATTTAACAGACAATTAAAACAACAAAAATGTTTAGCATGTAACACCTTAACATGACAGCTATAGAAAACGAAAGCAGAATCCGGGACATGTTAGGCGATTTAGAAATCCTGTCTGAATGCATTTTTAAGTCTAAAA